TTTATGATCGCTAGGGCTCAGCCTAACGAACCAGTCTCGTTATTTAGGGCACTGGTTGCTTTGATTGATTTGACACATCGGCCGGTGATCCGTGCTGAACACAAATGAACCACCTGGTTTTGCCTGTTGTGTGGAGGGCTGACTCGTAAGTCAAACATCTATGTTAATTTTACAAAACAAAGTACCTGACAATTCGGTTTTCTGTCTTGCCTTCGATTGGAGGTCACTTAGCTATAACTGATACGGCGATGGTAATGATTGCTATTATCTTTGAACTGCGGCAAATAGGGGATGATTGAAGTCTGCGTACGCTAAGACCAAGTCATGCTTGTTGCGAAAATAGGATTCATGTCAGCAGTTAGTACAATTATAGGAATATATTACTAGAATATACTATCCGCTGATCTTAATATGTATGATTACTATCATCAGCACTCTTAGCAGTGGCATATTAACTCTAATAGCAGTATCCTAGCCCACTTTGGTTTCCTTGACTCTGTGTTGACACCTACTGAAGGTGAGTGAGAGTAAATAGTCCGTTGGTACCAGCGCATAAGACCAAGTTGGGCGATGTTCTGGCCTGCATTGGAGAAAGAGGCCTACGCCCGAGCGCGTTCGTTCATCGTGACTTTGTCTTGTCACCGGTTCAAATGGATAAGGGTTTAGAGTGAAGTAGATAGTTGCACGTCCATTTCTCGTCTCTGTGTCCAGTCACCAGCCCTACTTTTGGACTTCATCGGAATCGATGGTTGAACTAGCACGGCAAGTCCAGAAGTGGGCTAACATTATTGTACGCGGGCATATGTTTTGTCGGCGCTACTACGTTAAGCGAATGGTAGTAGACCCCTTTTTATTATATTAATTTCTGTGATAGACCATTTAGCTGTTGCTTGACAATTGGAGGGCGCGTGAACTTCACAGTATAGATGACCTGATAAGAACCTAGCAGAAAAGTTAAACCCCTGGTTGGTAAGCCCTCAAACTTCTGTTTTACTCGAGTTCATTCGATAGCACCGACATTATTTGGAAAGAGCCAAGGGCGCCCGCGGAAACACCAAAAGAAAGCGTGTTCCCAAAAATTCGAATGGATGCATTACTGCCTTGTTTAATTTCCATTGAAATTAGCGCGCGATCTCGGAGTTAACCTTTTGGGCCAAAGCCTTTATATGTTCAGTTGATATGAACATTGTATCCAACGTTCATAGTCTACAACTGCCTAATATTCACGAGCTGCTAACGGACACTTCAATATATGCAAGTACCTGATGTTTAGCCGGAGTGACAACGAAGGTACCCGTTTGTCCTACTAACCGAAATCGCTGTGCCTCGTAAAAAATATGGCTTTCAGCGGTATAAAGCCAAAATTGAAGCTTTTGTGTCATAGGCTGTTTAAATGGAAACTGAAAGGTCTACATATGTGTACATGCCTGAGATAAAAACAGGAGAGGATGAACACCAAATTAGCTGTCTGTGTGTTCACCATGCTGCCTTCCGGCGGCTGACCTCGAGTGCTTGTCCAACCGCATGCTCAGTTCAAACAGGAGGAAATCTCGTATGCTCGGGTCCTCGACGGCCTCCAGTTTGGCTCTGATCTCATCAAAGGCAGCATCCGATATCTCGTCAAAAGGCTGCCCGTTCCTTTTTATGGAAAGGTGATACTGTAGCAGGGATTCTGCGTATTCCAGCCAGACACAGTTGAAGCAACCGGACATGCAACAGCCGCCTGGCTGAGGCGGTTGTGGAGGTGAAGCCATCGAGACCTGTCGACTACAGGGACGAGATAGGGACGGCAGTTTCGGCCATGGAGGCAGATAGAACAGAGAAAGAAGGCGATATCGAAGGGCCTTAGATGAAACCTGCTGGCAAATATGTGGTGCATACATGTTAACCTCGAAGTGAAGTGCAAAAGTTTATGAGGGTAGGATAAAGTTCAAGCATCTAAACGCAATGCAGAATCGTATTAATTGTGCAGGTCGCCAATACTGTAGCTAGATGTTCACAAGGGCTAGATAATACAGATTGCGCACAACGAAATGTAGATTTTTCAGGTGCTTCCTTCAATACGAACTAAGGCAGAAGAAACCTCGATTCCTGGTTCAGGGGCCTCGTGATCAGATATTTGATAACGAATCCCGTCCAAGAACTGGATTCATGCATGCATTTAACGGGGCAGCAAAAACTGTAGTATAAGAGATTCCATTTGATAAGACTTAAAGAAATCCACACCAGTAAGCGCACCAGCCCTAGCTTAGAGTTTTCATGGTCAGTTGTGCGAAGGGGTAAATTGGCCACTTGGCAAATTGTCTCGATTATGACCCTACTACACTATGCCTTTTGCCAGTCCAAGATTGGCTCAATTCGGAGAGAGTCCACTTCTTATCCCATTACGTAAATAACATCGCAAGAATTAGGAAAGCTTAAACAACAAAGTACAAGACGGAGGCGGACGTCGGCCCCATTCAGTTCAAAAGCAAACGTGCTGCGCCAGTCAAACTACTAAACATACGAACTGCCTTGGAAACAAAAGAGAAGTACGAAGTAAATCAGCGAAGATACTGTCAGCGAGGTATGATATCCTCCACTCAAAAAAACTGTCCTCGACATGGAATCTGTCTTCGGGCCTCCAAGCACCGCGTCTGGACGAGCTCAGCACCTGTCACCAGGAAGACAGCCTGGCAGAGCTAACCCTGACCTTGCCCTTCAAAAGGTGCAGCCTAAGATCTAATCGATTGTCCTTTGGACAAAGTGAACGAAA